CCGCGTCTCCTTCTAACCGCTGCGGTACCGGTTGGACCTGACAACGTTAAGAGTGGATATGACGTACCGGCAGTTGCCAGGTATAAAAGAAAAAATAAAAAGCGAGAAGAGTAATAAGTAATTAAACAATCTTATTCTTAAAGCATAATTATAGACATTACAATAGAAAGTTATTAAATTAATACGCATAAATTAAATCAGACAATATACGTAAATACTTCTTAATTTTTTATACTACCGTGCGAAATAAATATCTAATATTTTATTATTATTTTATAATATAAAATAATGTAAAAAGACAAAAATAATTTATGTTAACTAATTTTATTTTTTTCGGTACGCGATTCTAACAATAAGTTGAAAGTGTGACGCACTTGCTTGGTATCTGCATTTATCGTATCTCAATCGTAATACCTAGAAGTATACTTGATTAAAAATGTATTGTTTTGTCTATGTAGCTACTTGGACTTTATCAATCTTATGGCCTACGACTTCCATGGGAAATGGGAAAGAGAAGCTGGTCACAACGCTCCGTTATACTCCTCGTCATTGGATTCGGAATGGCAGAAACAATTGAGCGTTGACAATGCGGCTACTATGTGGGTCAAGCTGGGTGCACCTAAAGAAAAATTGATCATAGGCATGCCTACGTACGGCCGGTCGTTTACCCTTTCAAATTCTGCCAACTTCCGCGTACACGCCCCAGCTAGTGGTGGCGGAAAGGCAGGCGAATACACCAAGGAGTCTGGTTTCCTCGCATATTATGAGGTATTATACAAATCCGCTTTTACAGAGGAGTGAGAAAAAAAAATTTGAAAGTATCTCAAGTATTGAAACTCTCACAACAGTTTCGACATTATGTTATTTCTTACTTCATCAGTGTAATTTAAATCTTTTTAATTAATCTTTTATATAAACAATTATAAATAAAAGTTAAATTAATAAGAATAAATACTATAATAATCAAGTAACAGAAAGAGTCCTATTTACACAGAAGAAAATTTATATAAAATTTATAAAATTGAAAAATATTTAAAATCATTCTCCAATGTCAGATCTGCGAGATGCTGCATAACGGTGGTGCCTACGTTTGGGATGACGAGATGAAGGTACCTTATTTGGTGTACAACGATCAATGGGTTGGTTTCGACGATGAAAGATCCGTCAGGAATAAAATGCACTGGTTGAAGAGCAAAGGCTATGGAGGAGCAATGGTATGGACGATAGACATGGATGACTTCAATGGTACTGTTTGCGGTGGAAATGTTCGATATCCTTTGATCGGTGCGATGAGGGAGGAACTTAGGGGTATTTCGCGAGGATCTAATGCCAAGGATATTGACTGGACGGCGGTTGCCACCACCATTACAGAGACGATCGTTAAGAAACCGGAGCCTTACAAGATTTCCGTTTCGGAGGTGCTCAACAAATCGAAAAAGCTTCAAAAGACTACACTTGTGATTAACACTCCAATTCAGGGTAATTTTTTCAAATCAAATCGTTATAAATATAAAAAATTAGAAAATGATGCTCTATTATATCTTACATAAAGTATATATAACGAATGCATATATTTGTTTTGTTTATATCTAAAATTATTAAAAGATTATATTTGCCAAGAATTTTAATTAGAGGTTAATCGCAGCTCAATAAAAGTCTTTTTTAAAAACTTACAGAGAGAGAGGCGCAAACTATTTGTTACCTGACAAATTGGTCGCACAAAAGGCCAGGAATGGGACGATTTAGTCCGGAAGACATTGATCCAACTCTTTGCACTCACGTGGTATACGCGTTTGCTACTTTGAAGGATCATTTACTTACCGAAGGAAGTGATAAAGACGCCGAAATGTACCAAAGACTAATCGCGCTTCGTGACAAGAATCCTGACATTAAAGTATTTATCATCAAATTGTTTTGTTTCACAATTCAACAAATTTTAATTGCGTTATTGTGCAATGAAGTAATGGATTCTTCTGTTTCACTATGTTTTTAGATTCTTCTTGCGATTGGAGGATGGGCATTCGGCTCGACGCCCTTCAAGGAACTTACCAGTAATACATTCCGGATGAACCAATTCGTTTACGAAGCTATCGATTTCTTGCGAGAATATAAATTCGATGGATTAGATGTTGACTGGGAATACCCGAGGTTTAATTTACTTTGCATATATTTTAGATATATATATATATATATACGTAATGTATTATCTGTATAACCTAAAATATTTTTTTGTAGAGGAGCCGATGATCGTATGGCCTATGTCAATCTTCTAAAAGAACTCAGATTGGCTTTTGAGGGTGAAGCAAAGAGCTCCGGCCAACCGAAATTAATCTTGTCAGCTGCAGTGCCTGCCAGTTTTGAAGCTATTGCCGCAGGGTAAATATAACGAATGTTGCAATTAACATAAAAATTACATAAATTCAGTATTATTTATTTATTACAATTACAATTTATACAATTACAGTTACAAAATTCAGTACAAAAAGTAACGCATACATTAAGTAGAGTAGTTTTTTTTTTATTCTATAGTTCTACAATATATAAATATTGAAAAATGTTAGCTTGTTATATTTCAATTCTATTTTCTAGATACGACGTTCCTGAAATATCTAAGTATCTAGACTTCATTAACGTAATGGCATACGACTTCCATGGCCAATGGGAGAGACAAGTCGGTCACAACAGTCCATTGTATCCCTTAGAAAGTGCTACTAGCTATCAGAAAAAATTGACAGTGGTAAATAAAAGTGTCTACATGTTCAAGTCTTGATCTTATTGAGCTATTATGAAATTTTTCTCTATTTGATTTTTAGGATTACAGCGCACGGGAATGGGTGAAGCAAGGAGCACCCAAAGAAAAGCTCATGATCGGAATGCCAACGTATGGTAGATCCTTTACGCTGGTCGACAAGGATAAATTTGACATTGGTGCACCAGCATCTGGTGGTGGAGTGGCAGGGAACTTCACCAACGAATCCGGATTCCTGTCTTACTATGAAGTATTACTTTTTTTATAATATTCAAGCAAGCTAATTTGCAACAATATTTACTTGAGATACTTATTAGCATCATTATTTACTCGTAAATTGACGATTATATAATATTCACGAATAATATATAATTCTAAAATTCCGCTTTAATTTATGATTGCATTTTAAGTCCGAATTAACGCATAGTTTATAGAATTAAACAAATGTATTTACGTATAGAAATATTATATATACTAGTATCATTAAGCATCAAAAGATCCGTTTCGATCGAAATGAGACTTAAAAATAAGAAATATTTTCTATTATTTGACATTCGCATTGCTTTCTGTTGTTCAATTAAATTTAAATAAATGTTTCATAAATAGGTTTGTAGCTTCTTAAACGAAGACAATACAACTCTAGTATGGGATAGTGAGCAACAAGTACCATTTGCGTATAGAGATGATCAATGGGTCGGATTCGACGATGAAAGAAGTCTTATTAACAAGGTATATATTTTTAATTGTATATCTCTGAACTTTTTTAAGAAGAATATTCAATTTTATTTGACGTGTATGAAGGCAGCTTTGTTTGATCGTTTGAGTCTCCCTTGGACTTTATCGGAGCAATTAGATTACGCCTATCGCAATTTGTTGCCGCGGTTACAAATCGTCCTTCGCCGGCGTACCATGAATACGATTTACATTTAGAGCACGCGACTTACGGTAACCGGATCACGGATGTCGCCGAGTATTCTACCCGCGATAACAAATCATTTCTCCGATTTTCGGCTGGAATTTATATTACACATAACTGTCAATTTAATATTATTCTTTAGACGTTAATTATTATACGCATCTCATGCATAAGTTATATTTTTGTATAGATGACTTGGCTTAAAGAAGAAGGCTTCGGAGGCGTGATGATCTGGTCAGTCGACATGGATGACTTTAGAGGATCTTGCGGAGCAGGAAAGTATCCGCTGATCAAAGCAATGAAGAAGGAGTTGCAAGACTATAAGGTCAAATTGGAATACGATGGTCCTTACGAAAGTACTTTAAGAAATGGAAAATACACTACTAAGGATCGTAAGTAAATTGATACAGTCTGTGTTTAGTTTAAGCACTCACGCGCTGTAAGCTAATCCTATCTTCCCGATCTTTTTCCGAGGAAAAAAGATAAAAGCTTACAACGCATAAGTGCTTAAATCGAACTCAACTCATATTATATGTATAAATCTCACAAAAAAGGAATAACATTCTTACCGTATAAATTATTGTATGTGTGTAAAAACACAAAAATATCAAATATTCTCTAAAATTCATGAAATTTAAAGATGAATAGCTAAAAAATGATTGAACAATTTTTCAGCGAATGAAGTGTCGTGCGACGAAGAAGACAATCATATATCTTATCATGCGGACAAGAATGACTGCACGATGTATTATATGTGCGAGGGCGAGCGCAAGCATCACATGCCTTGTCCTGTAAATTTGGTCTTTAATCCCAATGAGAATGTTTGTGACTGGCCGGAGAATGTCGAGGGTTGCTTACAGCACACGCAAGCGCCACCAGTGTAAAAGCAAAGAGCAGTAACGAAGTAATTATTTGCGGTACGTGAAACTGTAAAATAAAAAAAGTGTCGAGGAAGTTTAGGAAAAGTAATTTTATTGAAAGTGCAGTTCATTAATTTGCGAATATAAGTATATTATCATCGCGTGTCAACAAGTTTTATCTTTTTTATGAATTTTTTCTCCCATGCATTTTTCCTTAAGTACTTTATTGTCTACTTTATTCGTATTTTTTAAGAATATGTATTTTCCGTTCTTGTCTATTTTTACCCTCGCCATCTGTATAAAGCACGAAAGAAATCATGACAATTACGTTTGTAAATAAAAATAAATTCTTGGAATACCATTTATTTTTATAATTATTTTTTCTCCGCTCTCTCGTTCTCCTCTTCTATGAAGAGAATTTTTCTGTTTCTTGATATTAATCGTAGAAATAACAAGAAGCATTTTTCATAATTATTTAACTACTTTTATTAGTAAATCTTACATTAAAAAAGATCACAATGTGAACTTTGAAGACTAGGCCCAAGGAAAAATGTTGCAATATAAACTCGTAGTTAATTGGCGATGAAAACGAGGATGAAGAATTTGACGAAGGCCAACCAGGCTGTCGCCAGTCGTTCGTAATTTCCCGAACTGAGAGCGGATGCTTGACAAGCGGTGTGTGGCGTACCCAGAGTCAATAAGACCTTGTCGGAGGAATAAGACGGAGTTGTTTCCGTGCAGACAGCTCGGCCGGCTATGGTCCTGAGTTGTCTCGCGTCGGATTGCGATGCCGTATGAATTTGTCGAGACTCTCTGAGCCACCTGCGAAGCCACAGACTGAGCCATGCAATTTCGCAATCGCATTCGAGTGGATTACCTGATACCTGCAATCCACCTGAAGAAAGATCATTTTAGCACGTGGTTTCTAACGATTTCAGATATGTTAATTATTAACTTTAGAATTAAAAAAAAACCCTTATCGGATCTGATATTTAATATTAATGAATATTTAAGCACTAAGATGCGGCTCAAATGAGGATTTTTCATTACTTATATTAGAATTGTAATTATTAGAAAAGATATATATTATAATAAAAATTTTAACTATTATTTTATTAAAATACTTATATTTGTTATATATTGCGCACGCAAACTCTTACCAGCTACCATGTTAGTTCCTACAGTCTCCCAGGAAAGATTCCCGTAAATGATCGATGGACTTAATTCGTTGATATGATTGTTCCTTAAGTCCAAAGTAAGCTGCGACAATCTTTTCGTCAACGATAGAAAAATATCCGACTGTAGTCGTTGAACGTGCGTGTCTTTGATTCTCAATATCAAATCTCCGCCTTCGATAGTAGAGAACGCTTCGGAGGAGATCAATTCAAGATCATTTCCGGTGATAGTTAGTTCTCTCAATTGTTTTGTAAAAACGTTTTGTATTTGATGCTTCAGAAGATGTTCCGTTACTTGAATCTCCACTGTTCGAAGTGGTAAACCAGATAGCAAATGACGCAAATGAAATCCGTCGGCCTGCGGCCACGTTTGAATTCGCAAATGTTTTAAATATTTCAGAGGTTGCAGACAATCTTTGTCCACTGATCTGGTCCGATTTAAATTTTTTAAATTTAATTTTTCTAATCTCGGGTAGCCCAAGAAGCTCTCTTTCGTCAATTCCTGGAAAATCATTAAACACATTATTAAGAAAGATTTGAAATAGGAGAAAACGCTTTTCTTAATTACTAGCTAATTTTAACTAACCTCGATAGGATTGCCAGAAACATCAAGTTCTCTCAAGAGGCTCAATCTGACACCGGGCATTAATGTTAATGAGTTATTAACCAGTAAAAGAATCTTCAAACCTTCTAGATATTGAAATTGCTTGTCAGTAGTCTCGTCAATGTTGTTAAAAGACAAATCCAAATTATTTAAGTTTGTCAGTGGCAGTAATGGTATGCTTCTAAGACCGCAATTAGCCAGATAGAGATGTCTCAAATCTGGTAAATAATGAAACAGCTCTTTAAAGTTTGCTTGGAGAAAATTTTGAGATATGTTCAGACTCAGTAATTTTCCCAGGGAAACGAATGAATTGTCTGGAAGAATAGTCAAACGATTTTGCGCCAGATTCAGAGATACCAGCTGAGAAGTTGGGAATGCAGTCGAGTCAAGGTGATCCAGGAAATTCTCCGCCATATTGAGGTCCCTCAGAGTATAACCGACTTCTAAGAATGACGATGAGGGCACGACGGTAAATTTGTTGTGACTGAGATCAAGAATTTCTAATCTAGTACCCTCAAAAACATCTTTCGGTAACGAACGAATCTTATTGTTTGAAAGAATCAAAATCCTCAGCTTTTTTAGATTTCTGAACTGCTCTGTCGATAACTGTGTTATTTCGTTTCCGCCAAGATTCAGCCATTGAAGGGACTCCAAACCGTGAAAAGATTGTTTGCGCAATGTATCTATCCTGTTGTTACTTAAGTCCAGAGTTTCTAAGTGGGGAAATGAAAATGTTCCTGAAACACAATATAAATTATAGTTGCTTGAAAATATTTTGAAAATCAAAGAAATTATTCTATAATAATTTGTATTCTGTAATTTGGAATGCAGGTTCATTTAAATATAAGAACAATTATATTTTCTCACCAGGATCGATTGTGGCAAGATAATTGTTTTGCAGATATAAGTTTTTCAAATCGGGCGTTCCGTAAAATGTATCCGCTGATAAATGACTAATATTATTGTATCCAAGATCCAATCTGGTGAGATTATTCATTGTAGATCCCGAATCAACGAACGTGATCGCATTATAGGAAACATTTAGGGCAAAATCGGGACCACCGATCTCTGAAATAGCACCCAAATCCAGCATGGTCAGCTTATTGAATTCCAAATGGAGAAAACGCAAACTCGACAAACCATACAATGCGTTTCTCTCCATTTTTTGTATTCGATTGTAAGCTAACGATATGGTCACTAGCTTCGGGCAATCTACGATGGAGCCAGATGCCAAGATTTTTATTCGATTGCCAGTCAAGTCAAGAGACAGCAGCTCAGTCAAATTATGGAAACTTGACTCCGGTATTGCCTCCAGGAAATTGTATCCCAGTTTGACGTCTCTTAATTCTGGATGCACGCTTGAGAGAAATATTCTTTCGGGCAAGTAATGCAATCTGTTTGATTCCATGTTAATGTAACGCAGTTGTTGGAAGGAGTAAAAAGCTGTTGCCTCGATTGTCTGGAAGTTATTGTTGTCTAAAACTAGCCACCGGAGATTTGAGAGTGGCCTAAGTGCGCGCTGAGGAAAAATATCTGTAGCGAAGGCGAAACTCAACTCGAGAATGTCCAGACTCTCCTCAAGACCAACAAAACAGTCATCATCGAGTTCCGTCAAGTGATTGAAGGACAGGCTGAGCTCTTTTAGTTTACCTAAGAGAAAGCTCTATTAAAAATAAATTCGCATACATATAATTATAATTATTTGCCAATATTATTTGTATCATTAATTCCTCATGACATATAGCGATTATTTCCGACAATATACTTTCACAACCGAAATTATAGGCAACGTACCGGCTCCTTTGAAAGTCTCAGCTTTGAGTTTCGTCAGGATATTGTTCCTGAGTAATAAGATCTCAAGGTCCTCGGCCCACTCGAAATCACCCGGCTCGACGTGGGAGATCTTGTTGTAACCGAGATTCAAGTGCAATAGCCTCTGGCATCTGTTTCGAAAATTGATCGTCAGATATGTTGCATCAAACTTTCTTTCCGTTATTATTACTAAGATCTCATATCATTAACTCGTACTCCATGCCATGTGATTTATTTTGACCTTTACGGTCTGTTTATATAATGCAAAATTCTATACACATGCGATAATATTATAATATAGAAATACAGGTAGTTACCTGCTTTTGCTTTTTATACAATATACATATAATTTATATACATATAATGAATAGGTTTTTTTGATAATAATAGAAATAGATTAATTTTTATTTGTATTTTATATTTTGGTTTTTTTATTTTATAATTTAGATTAAAAATTAATTAATTTTATTAAATTAAATTAAATTAAAATATATTTGTATAGAATTTACTACATCTTTTATTAAAATATAATTTTACATTTTTTTAATACATTTCTGGAAATTATAAGTGTCAAAGAGACCTGTTGTAAAAACATATATAAATTTCAAACCGAATGGAACAATGCCACAGCGGTGCCTAAGCTGAATCACGAGTGCTTCTAAATAATTGTGAATTTATATACTAGATCTAGATACGAATGTAATTCTTCGATTGCGCGCCAAATTTTTTCAGGCTTGAAACGCAACACTAATAAATTATCGCAATAATATTACAAGTTAAATTGACTAACAATTTAATAATTATTGATGCTGTTTACGCATCTCTTATATCGATCCTATTAATGTTAATAATCTATTAAAAACTATAAATAATTAATTTTTCACTGCGAAAAATATTACCTCACCCGGAAGTCGGATCTTTGACATTTTGTGCGAGCGTCCTAAACCTTTAGACTACCGAGGCAATGTCATTTATATTAAATATGTTTTATATTAAATAATTGTAATGTAACTTGAAAATTAATTGTTATAAAAAATTAATTCTCTCGGCATTATTAAAATTCGAAAGCAAATAACTTATCTCATGTAATAGCGTTAAAAGTACCTGGACAAGGCAGCTACAGGTACTGCATCTAGACTGTTCGTTGCAAGAGAGAGAGCCTTTAAATGTTCTGCAAATTCTTGAAAGACCTCGCCGGAAATATTTTTAATCTCATTATTAGCTAAATAAAGATATGATAACATCTTCATCTGGCTAACAGCACTTGGTACTGCTGGCAAGTTATTATTTTCTAAATTTAAATATTCGAGACTATTTTCTAAACCGCGAAATGCTTCTTTGTCAACGTTTCTGATACTATTTGACGATAGATGAATTCTTCTGGTTTCAAGACGATCAAACATTCTGCGTGGTAACGAGACTAATTTATTTCCAGCTAAATTGAAGTCTCTGACTTTTACGGTGTGATTGCTCAGATTAGGTGTCTTCATCCATTCAATGGAATTCTCGCTAACATCTATGAGCTCCAAATTGGAACTGCGAAAATCTGGTAGTTCCAGATATTTAAGATCATTTCCTCTCATATAGAGCCAAGTTAGTTCTTTAAGACCTCCTAAAGATTGTGGGAATTCTTTCAAGAGGTTATTATTAATGCTCAAAGTGTGCATGTTTGGTGGCAAACTATTTTTGAAGAGTTCCTCAATGTTATTGCTGTCTAAATTTAACCATACCAGATTGGCGAAATTCGTAAAGATCCTGGGCACTTCGGTAATCGAATTATCACCAAAAAATGCGTTTGTTAGAGTTTCTTTAGTATGACCCCAATCGCCATCCAATGACGTTAAATGATTACTAATAATTAATAAATTTTATGATTAAAACACTTAATTTTTTTATAATTAGAGCAATTATTTGATTTTTAATAAGTTAAAAAATTTAAGTCACATACCTGTGCATGTTAAGCCAATTTAATTTTCTTAGATCGCGGAAAACCTTGAAAGGCACATCCTCAAGGGAATTGTAGCTTAAATCCAAAGAACGTAGACTGTCCGTAACACCTCTTACAAAAAGGGACATTAAAGATACAATTTCTCAATCATCGTGTTCCAAAGTTTAGTTGAAGATAATTGTATGAATAAATTGGATATGTATGTTCATATGTTATTAAAAGACTTGAAACACAAATTAGTCTGTGTCAAAACACGCAATTATTTCACAATCAATTTATAAAAAGATATAAACTTTGTTTAATTAAACGTAAAAGATGTAAACTTCTATTAAGCACGAAGAAAAAAAAATTAAAAATATACTTACAGCAGAGACTTATCACCTATGCTGGATAATCGATTGCTCATTAGTCCCAGAGCTTCGACACCTGCAGAACTCGCAAGTGCATCATTGTCCAATACTTGTATACCGGATCCAGCGATATCTAGTTGTGCCACATAACTCACCGATACGTCTAAAACGTTTAGTATATAAATTTTGTTCAACTTGTTTAATTGTATTTCGAAATTTTTACTATACATGAAAAATACGTACACATACATACATGTATACATATACATGTAGTCGCACCATTGCTGTACCGTGAAATAAATATTTCTAAACCGATATTTCTTTTTATATAAAATAATATGATGCAAATAATGATAAATTAATTCAAATAAAAACACAATGCTTAGCGTTATATGATAATAAAATAATCAAAGAAAATCTTTATAATTAATAAGTAGTTCTTAATCAATAATACTGAATCTTTAGTATACTTTTACCAGGAAATCGTGCGAATGGAACTCCCATACAGCTGATATCCATCTTTGTAAAATCGTCATCGTCATCCTGGACCCAACACATGCACATTGAGTTGAATGTGCAAGGAACATTGTAACATCTTATACCGGAGCTCCAAAGCAGGAATAATAATATTATCGTCAATTGAATCACGTTAAACATCATCTACAAAAACGTGTAAAATAAAAGTTAAATTTTGTTATAATATGTGTATGTTTCAGTTCACAATGTAGTTTATAATAATTTTCGGACTATTTAAGTTTCCAAATATTTTATTAATAATGTTTATTTATTATATAAATTTAGAAAAAAAAAATATTTTTAAAAATAAATATTAATAACAATTTTTTAAAAATTTTAAATAATATTTATTAAATATTATTTAATTTTAATTTCAAATTCATATTTGTTTAACATTATTTTTATACTATTTCAATAGTGATATAAAATTTATTATGTTTAAAATAATGGAACAAGTACTTTATCACCTTAAAAAATTATTACACTGTCAATACAAAATTACTTTAACCAAACCTTATCCATTAAATTCAGGCTTTCATGGAGTTCTTCTTCCAGAAACTAATGTATGTCTAATTGGCTTCAAAGATGGGAAGCTCATCCCAGAAGAATATCGGTTTTCAGGACACTTTCATAGCTCGTTGTTGATCCTGTCCGAGAGACTAGGAAGCAAACAAACGCGTCGAAGACTCTGCTCGTGCACGACTTCCAAAGCGCAGGTGCTCTCCGGAAAGCGCAAGCGCATCTCCGGCCGACCTTTATGGATCGAATGTGGTTGAAGTTGCGATTCTAACGAAAATGAACATACAGTATTTAGTATAATGCTTGTTATTTAGAGTAAACAAATAATAATTTAATTAACGGAAAATCCAATAGGCAGTTTCTCTGTTTAATCCATAAAGATAGCATCGGTATTTAAAAAATTATTATTATTAACGAAGATCTTTAAATATTTAAGCACATGTAAAATTTCGCAATTAAGATACACAAATTTATTGTAATAAAATTTAAAACTCTGACTATATTAAATGCATCAAATCGATTTCGTAACTTCTTTCGCATTTCAAATAAAAAATTTTTACAATAAGTTGGTATTTCCTAGAATTGGACATGTATTACAAAACAATTTTATAATTCAACTTTGACACATACATTAATAAAATAAACATTTTTTTAATGTCATTATACGTTTTGTAAAATATTATATTTGTCTAAAAAAAGTGACAATTCTCAAAAGTCAACGTACATCATTATTCAACAGATGTCACTACATGTGACGATCATCACTTATAAAACGCAATTTATGTGACGATACTTTGTATACCTATAGAAGAGTATTTACGCAAAAGATTTTTTTAATGATAGATTACAGCAAATATTTTTCCAATTACCGTACTCATATATTATCTGATTCTGACATTGGTAATTGCAAATTATTACAAGTAGTTTTCAGATTTTAACATATCCACTTTTATACAAAAAGTAGAAAAACGAGTAGAGCCATGACAGAGGAGGAAAAGGAACCCAGAGCTTGTCAAAAAGTGAAAGGTTGTCCGTCTCTTCTATCCCCACACGATCTGAATTGCCAGCAAAACTGATCTCTGTCTCTCTTCCTCTCTCTGTCTTTCTTTCTTTTTCCCTCACTGTGTCGTCCTATAATCCAATACGAACGTTTACTGGTATCAACATTTCCAGCCAGCCGGCGACATCCACGCGAACACTGTTGATGCCCCGAGGATGATTTTCATTCAATACTTCTCTCAGTAACGTCGAGGCGCGTTAACATGGTGATCTCGCTTATTGATACGCGGCGATAAAGTGAATTTTCGTACGTACGTTGAACCGGGCTCACATTCTTAAGTGCCGAGAGATAAGACTGTTTACACGAAAATTAATTACGAGCTGTCATTAAATCTTTGTTTGCGCATAAAAAACAGGAAAAAAGTTGCTAATTACTTTTTCTTTATTTGATATATATGTATGTAAATATATATAATAGTTTTTATCAAGAAAATTTTATGAAAACAACTGCAATAATTTTGTAGTGGCAAAAGGTAAAGAGCCGATGCGTATTCATATTACTTCTACACTTATATTATTTGTGCTCTTAAATTTTATTTGTAAAAGAAAAATAAATAAAGCAAAGGAATTATACTCTTTAAATAAAAAAAAAAACGTGCTTGTCAATAATTTTTAGATATTTGAGATAATTTTTTAACATACTAAACATTTTTTTATTTATACTGAGCTTTAAGACAAACGCGCAGAATTAAAAAAGGAGCCAAAATTTATATTATAAAAATAAATATTATATCTTTTTATATAAGGAATATTAGGCAGAATGCAATATTTTTTAAATACAATATGTTCTTTTTAATATAATAATTTATTTTCTTATCTTCATATATTTTCTTATCTTAATTACTTTTAAGTAATTAAAAGAAGTTACATTAAAATAATTTATTTGTCGAAAAAAACTGTTTATTTTTTTTTAATTGCAAACGAGAAAAATTAATTCTTTGTGATACTAATTATAACTTAATAGTACTTAATGAGTGTAGTGTAATTTCTTTCGAAATAACACAACAGCGTAAATTTATAAATATAACCTTCCATTCAAGTACTACAAGACTGACTTGTTGAATTATTCGTATCCCAAACAAGAACGAATTTACGACAAGAAATGCCAGGAATCTTGTTGATCTCGTGATGAATTGCCAAAGTGGTCTCGTTTCTTCAGTGACACCCTCGTTCCTCGCAGTCGCGAAGTATATTCAATAATATGGAAGAGACTATTATTTGCATGGAGGAAGAATGTCTGTTAGAAAAAAGGAGGACGGTCATTCTGAGGGAATGTAAGGAGATATTGCAGGAAGAAGGATCCGGGCGCTATAGCAAAGAGGCCTTTAGAAGACTCTTCTATGATCAGGTACAACGAAAACTAAAGTTGAGATACATTAATAAGTATTTTGTGTAATAAAATAGTAATTTAATTAAATTATATTGCAACTTTCATTTAATTATATTTAACTATATTTTGATTTAGTTTAAATATTCTGTTCAACTATTGTTAGACGTTGAAAATAGATAGTTTTGATAAAAAATATGAATTTGCATTTATAAAAAACATTTATAAAATTCTGAGTTTCCGTAAATAAAAGTGAGTTTTGTAAATATAACTAAAATGACATTATAAAATACATAAAAGTGTCGGTTAAAATTGTCATGGTTTTCTTTAATAAAAACAGGATTGCCGCTTTTATTCATGAAATACGAGAAGTATATTCAGAGTTTTTATGATGCGGATTAATTTTATGACGGTTTTTTTAAACGTTTCGAAACAGCTTCATATGCATTTTATATAAAGTTCATGTAAGTGAGACGTCATTTTTTGGAAGGGAATCGTGAAATTCGGTAAAAAGTGTCGTATCTCATGAGAAAGCAATTATTATTAAATGCAGAAATCATAAAATCAGAAAGCTGAAGATATAAAGAGACAACAATATATTTAAAAAATGATCAAGCAATTTAACCCTGTCACACACACACGTCCAGTAATATACATATCTAGATTATTCCCTACGTGGATATGAAAAAAAAAGTTTTTATAAATCTAAAAGTAAAAGAAAAACTAATAAAATATTTTATTTTGTTTTGTCACAAAGATGTTTATCATATCATTAATAATATAAACTTCTATTTCCGAACATCATACATGACTTTAAAGTATCTAATCTACTAAATTCTTTAGTAAATTAGCACATATAACGAGATAGTAGATTGTCCTCGTAATCCGGCACTTTCTTAAAGCGGCCATGAAGAATTGCAATTATTGTAATTATTGGCTTGCTGCCTCACTTTCTTTTGTGAAGAAAAAGAAGGTTCGCGTGGCACTAAACATGAAACGTCGACGTTACATCATCTGCGAATATCGGCTTGTCAAGTAATTATGGTTCTTTTAAAAAGCATTTACAGATTTTTTCAATTGTCCCTTTTTTTGACCATGATTTACCTGTATTTAGATAACAAAGTAATATTTATGTAATGAAATAGTTATAATTATGAATCTACATATAAGCAAATATAATATGAATTTTGTAGATTTTAAAAATAATAGGAAATAGATAGATTTATTATTTAGAGTTTCATTATAAAATTAAATTCTAATGTTTTTGGCTTATATAAATAGGTTCAAGAGAGATAAATACTTACTATTGAATACATATAATTATAGAGTGATACATGTTTATAAAATAAATATAATTCTGCTGCATTTTTGTGTTAACGTTCTTTTTTTATAGAATTAAAAATATCTTATAGAAATATAGAAAAATAGTTCTTATATTCATATTCTTGGGGACCACCTTTCTCTTAAACTGTCACTCATAAAAAATCTGAAAAAAAAGTGAAACACGTATTTGCACATATATGTATGAGCACATATATGTCTATGAGATTACAATCGTTCGCCCAGTCAATCTTTTCATATTGCAACCGGAAAGCGCTGTCATTCGATTGCAAAATATTTTTTGACAAGTGTGATATATATTTACGTATACGTTAAAAGACTTAAAGTTTCAATTCAATTTAAGGTTATTAACTTATTTAATACTTTGATTTACAAAGATTTATCAAAACAATGGAATGAATATTAAGCATGTACAAGGCAATATATTGCTTTCTCAGAGATTTACAGATTATTTCTCTACATGAAATGTAAGCATTTTGCTTCAGAATAAGAAGATTAAGTTTATTAATACGCGACATCTCTTCCAATTATGAGATACTTTGTTTAATAAGAAGAGCTTACAAGATTTCTTTATCGGTACTGAAACGCTTATGACTAAATTTGCGATCTCGAACTATATATCCATTTATCGAATAATCGTCTCCTTATAGAAGATCGTAATCGACGAACAATGAGATCCACTCTCGAAAATCCGAATAGGAAAAAAAGACCCGAGGCGACAATGATCGAAGCAAATGAGAGGTCCTACCGAGGGCCCATGATTTTCGATCAAGGTGGTCGAACGCCCCGGGCACGAGGCCTTGATGCTTCAAGCACCTCCTGGACATTTCGAATCGCATAACATAACGTCGACCAGGACCGACGTCTCGTTTATTGACTATCCATTAACCCTTTAACTATCGACGTAAATAGTTGAAACATTATTGATTATCATTAGAGGAGAAGTTAGGTGGTTCCCATTCACATTTTATACGTAACTTTGTTAATAATTAATTAAAATTTAAAATTTGATGATTACGTTCGTCAAAATATTGTTTTATCAAGTCTAAACTTCACGTTATAAAATATTTATTACATAAGACATTATTTATATAAAATGTGATGATATTGCATAATAAATCTAAATAGGAATGGTATACATAACGTGGCTTTTTACAACTTATCTTTCTCTTGAATGGATTACAAACATTAATGATATATATAATTACAAAATTATATATTTTCAATAAATGAAACTAAATTACGGGCTAGTGAGAGTTAAACTTGCGATAAAATTCGTGCAAATTAAAAGTTTTATTTCAATATGAATACTTGTATAGACGTTTCGGCTACAATTCAAGCCATCTTCAGTAGTCCAAAAACTTTCGTCGATGGCTGAGCAGGAAGTGGCAAATTCATCTCTCCTATAGATTATTTTGTCCCAAAATTGATCAATCTTGCGGCAAATAATGGGAAGAATATCTATATGTACACATTGATATTAGTATAATTGACTTAAAAGTTGAAAAAAGATGAGAAGATGAAAAAAGAACTTACCCGCACAGCCATGGAGCAAAAATAATTACGAATATAAGTTAATTAGTCGAATGGTCGCAAATATCATTGTATAGGTATTAGCATGTCCACGGACAGCAGTCTAATGACATGCGAATGTCAAGAACATGATGTAACGCAATAATAATAAACATGTGCGCGGAAATTCTGCGTAAAGCAACAACATATTTATACTAAATAATACACAAATATTTTTTAACACAGGATAGAACGACACCTTGGATAAAACAATATGATAAATTAAAAATTAAGATAAATTAAAAAATCTCATTAGCCCGTAATTTATTTTTATTTATTTGACATTCTCGAGAGTTTAATTTAGATTTGTTTTTATATATTTTTAAAAAACAAAATATATATGTTATATATGTTAATACGTACATATATTTAATAATAAATAACACATTTTAAAAGTATGATATGTATATTCGTGTGAGATATAATACGTTGAAGTTATGGGAACATAAGTTTATATAGGAATAACAAAGTACGTCTAATTAAATGCTAAAATGTACTTAAAAACATTTTAAAGTGCCTATAAAAATAAAAATGCGTTATAATATAATATTATTATTATATACGCGCGTATTGGTATAATATAATATTATATTATAT